TGCGGAAAAAGGAGGTGTGACAATGCCAAATCTCCATATTTGCCAATTTGTTATTCGGGGGCATCAGGATCGGCGCATACGCTCATTTTTTATATCAAGCGTCCTTTCATGATCGAAATTGATGATTTTGATCCATTGTCGCTATTGGCTGAAGAGTTTTGCGCGTTTGTTGATAATGGGATGGATACGAGGCGAATGTATCTTCACTTTCTTTAATCTTTCATGTTCTGATTTTATACTTGTCAATGAAGGTAGTTCTGATTACTTTTTATTTTTTGTGATTTGAAGTGCCAAAAAATATATACCGATAAAGTAAATAAGCTTGTAGAAGCTTTTACTTTTGGCTCGTGTCATGTGACCACGAAGGATTGGTTCCACTCACTTGCGTATTGTGGTCGACCTTTGATTGACACGGTATTTAATAACTTTATGTTCTAATGCCTTTTTTATTTGTTGCATATCTTTATTGTTCGAGACCCCCATAGTGTATACATAGCTTTGGATAATCACAGTATAAGACTGTATAAGATTGTATAACCTTGTATAAATATGTATACCTCTGTATAATAATGTATAAATTTCTATATTTAAAAAACCTAGTAGTGATGGTTGTTCTGTCTTATTTCTTGTCTCAGCACTTGGATGTCCTCTTTTATTATTTGAGGAATAGGGAAAAATATTGGCCGAATATTGCCATCCGATTTACTACAAACGAATTTGCCTTTGGTAACAAAATCAACTCCCTGCATAAAGATTTCAAAGTTAATCAACATCCTTTAGTGATTCCTGAAGGGCATGAGATAGAAGAGTACATTAGAGGATATTATTGTGATGCAAATGTACCGTGGCACATTTTTTACCACGTCTTATTCCCTATCTATGTGAAGCGCGGAAGAGCAAAATTGGGCCATTGTGTTTTGGGGTTATTTACGTTCATAGATAAGTGCATCCACATCTATGACTCTAACCGTGGAGCTATTAATGATAGACTTGCTTTGGATGTTGCATTACCTTATGTAATTCTGATACCTTACTTCTTGAAGAGTTCTGATTTTTATGTCGAGAAGAAGGACATTGATTGGAACAATGGTGCATATATCAAATGGTAGGTTAATCTCAATTGTTTTACTATTTTGTTATTAGTGTACCTATTTGAATCTGATTTGTTTCTTTTAATTACAGTGATTGTAGTGCTTTTGTTGTTGGCTTTGCTGAGTATTTCATCCTTGGTAAGGAAATTTGAAAAGATAATTTTGACATTGAGACACTTCGCTCCAGGTGGGGATCTCTATTGTGAGATTATGGAAGGAAAAAATAACAATCCGGTGTAATTAGTGGTGATGAAATCATAGGGAGACTTTTCAGGAAGAGGAAGAGGGGACGACCGAGAAAGTAGTTCTGCTTTTTCCATTTTACTGTAGTTTTGCAATGTATCAGGAGTTGTTGCCTAATTTTGTCTAAGTACTATTCTGCTACTTGTGAGATAACTTTAAAGGATATTATAGATGTTTTTATTTTTGTGTAATTTGTGGTAGTCATTACACATTGTGGCTGTAAATGAATTACATTTTAATGAATATTTCAGTTGCTTTTGTCCTTTAACAAAGTATGTATTTTTATTATGGTTGCAGTTTTGTTGGTTTATACATATGTATACAATAATATACATAGTTATACAAATTTATACAAACTTATACTCTCATTTATATATTTGTATACATATAATACCATTGATTGTTTGCAGTTCTGTTTTGTATTTGTACAATCTATCAATATATTTAGCACCATTAAAAACAGCAAGACACTATTATTAGATGATCAAAACATGTATAATGAAACATATTTAACATAATTGCAATATATAGTGTAAATTGTAATTCTTTATTAACATTTCTAACTCAATTGCTTGTGAAACTTAACTACTCAACATTTGTAACTTTATTGTTTGTGAAACTTAATTACTCAACATGACAACAAATGTAATAGGAAGTATTATGTTTCCAACTATTTATTTTGGTTGATTCCTACATGTTTTTCTATTGTGACCACCTTGTCCACACACAGAACATGAAAACGCTCTCTTATACTCTTTCTCTGAAGCAGGTTTAAGTTTTTCCTTTCTTGGCCTTCTTGCATTCCTTCTCCCTTTAGGTGGTAGGACCACATCTTCCAGCACCTCTGTTGGGATTACCCATAAACTCTCATTTGGCATCGGATTCACTAGAAATTCATAAGTTCTAAGGAGGTTATCCTTCTTGTAGTAAAAAGAGCAATACTGGCCAGGTTTCAGCTGCTGATTCTTCAAAACCACCCAAGCACGCGGACGTGGAATTTCATCCATTTGAAATTTTTCGCAACTGCATGTTCCCACTTCAAGGCACATTATGTTTCACCTTAACCCTTCAAGCACAGTATATAACTGCTCCGTAGCAGGTCTCACCTGCAAAAGTTTTTTTTCTAAAATAAGTTAAAGAACATTATACATAGTTATACATCCTTATACAAGCTGTAAAATGCAAGTAAGCAGTGCCAAACATCATTATATTTGATTTATTTTACCGTCATTTGCTCCGATGCAATCAGATTTTCCCGAAGGAGTTTGTCGTACTTTTCGCTAAGTTCTGTAGATGTCTCCATTGCACTTTTTCTATTTTTGTTGTTCAACTGTTGTAGTAAATTTGTCATGTACTCCAGCAATCGCATTACTGGTAACTCTCTAGCATCCTTGTTTGCTGCATTAATTGACTCTGCAATATTGGAGGTGTCACGACCCAAAAATCCCTCCGAAAGAGTCATGATGGCACCTAGTCTCTAAACTAGGTAAGCCTAACATAACCTGAAATAACATTGATGCTTACTAACTTTAAATTAACCAACTCTAAATAAATCAAAATTTCCAAAATCGGTGATACAAGTCACAAGCCTATCTAAGAGTAATTTCACAAAATAATACATCACTGCCCCGAAACGAAGGAGCAAATAGAAGTAAATACAAATGAAGGTGACTCCGAGACCTGCAAACGCTGTAGCAATTTTACCTTAAGTCTCCACCGTGACGACCCGCACAACTACTATCAATCCACCTGGATCTGTACACAAATATGTACAGAAGTGTAGTATGAGCATACCACGGTGGTGCCGAGTAAGTATCAAGACTAACCCCGGTGGGGTAGTGACGAGGAACAGTCAGGACACCTACTGGTCAAATAAAATGAACATCATATGATAAAAAAATATCAAGATAAAGATAACAAAGTAATATCAACCGCAGAGAGTAAATTATGGGAAAGGAACCGTTTTTCTTCTATGCGATCGCACAACCTAGTCCGCGATCGCAGTGCCCAATCCCCCGTACCCTATGCGATCGCATACCCTTGTTCGCAATCGCAGAGACCAATTTTGCCTAGTCATTTAAACAGTAACAGAACACATACGAGATTAAACCCAAAATTCATAACTTCTTCTTCCAAACTCCAAATTGGGCGATTTTTGAAAGAGAACTTCACCACCAATTCATAGGTATGTAATCTTAGACTCATTTTTTTCAATTTTCATTAACACCCATTAGATTTCTAGGCTTAAATCATGTTCTTAAGGGTAGAAAATTAGGGATTTGGATAGAGTTAGGGCTTTTTATATAAATGGAATTTAGACCTCGTTTTGGGGTCGGATTTCGAAACAATACATATTCGAGCTCGTGGGTGAATGGGTGATATGGTTTTGGTCTGAACCTCTTGTTTTGACCAAGTAGGCCCGGGGTCGATTTTTGACTTTTTGGGTGGACGCCTTCAGTCCAGTCAGAGATCCCGAGGTAGTCCTACAAGCGTCCACAGGCCCGGCGTTCTCTTCTATCTTTATATTCCGTATTCATTTACTTCAGAGATAGATTGTACTTTTCTTTCCAGACATTTGTATATAGTATTTGTAGATGGTCCGCGATATTGTGACACCGATTCCGGGTAGAGATGTACTTGATATTGTCGTACTTGTTTTTCGGTTAAGTTATCAGATTTCGTTTTCCGCATGTCTTTAATTATTGTTAATATTTCACTGTTGATCGCATGTTGTGATAAATTGTTAAAAAGGGCTAAATAAAAGAGTTAGTGAATTTATAATACTCGGCTTGCCTAGCTTTCACGAGTAGGCATCATCACTACTCCCGAGGGTGGAAAATCCGGGTCGTGACAGGAAGTCATAACCATTGACCTTTTCACTTTGGAGTATGCCCTAGACCACCTTTCGTAGCCAATTTCGAACAAGTAAGGCTGCACCCTCGGATCAATTTTGCACATCTCTGTCATATGGTACTCAAACTTCTCTATCGTGTAAGCTCTAGCCAAAACAAATAAGATATCCTTCAATTGTTTGTGATGTTTCTTAAATGTGTGCTTTACATTCTACCACAAGTGAAACATGCAAATAAAATGTGGTACTTCTGGGTACACAACTTTTGTTATAGCAACCCCTTTGGGAGGGTACTACTTAGGAAAACAAATCTAATTTTCTAGTTACAAAATATTAAAAGAGATATTAATTAAANAAGTATACCAAATATCCATTTTTCGCCCAATATGTACGTCATGCCATCACACTAAGCATAATCAGATATCAAGATGGACCGAAGCCCCAAATCAAGTAGGGTCAAAACCCAATAGACAAGAGAATCAAGAACCATATTAAAAATGGCTTCCTAGTTCGTACTTAACACGGACAAGTTCCATAATTCAAGACGAACTACAAATCCAAAGTCAAGAAGGCAAAAGATCAGAATTAAGAGGCATGCCAAGTGAGTGACCAAGTCACTGCCACAAGAAGGAAAAAGTCCTAACAAGAATGCAAAATGATCAAACAATCCGTACGAATGAGCGATTTAGCAAATTTCTTACAAGACTTGATATAATCCGAATATAACAATATAATTCGAAGACAAGAAAAATAAAATATCAGGTTATTTCAACATATTTCTAGCAAGCAAAAAGAATACAAGTTTATACACAAACCTTGGTATTTTACCACAAAACAGTTCAATCACAACTTGGGGACGTTCGAATCGTCTACGCCGTAAACAAACCAAATCTGTCCACTTCCTCAAACACTTCCCCTTTGATTTTTTTTCAAGGGTTTATATACCTTAAATACATAATAAAATATATAAATAAGTTCAGTGATTTAACAAATCAACTAAACATGATATTGGTGAAAATTACCCAAAAACGTTTGAAACAGAAATTCTGGACAGTATCATTGTTCTGAGTTGTGACTCAGTTTTAAAGATCTATACGGACAAACTAGACTTTATATTCTTCAAAAAAGTTGTAGATCTATGTCTTACCGTTTCAGAATATCTTGAATCACCACCATATCAATTTTGAACAAAATGTTATGCTAAAATTACTAACAGCAGTACATAGAGTATTTCAAGAACTGAAAATCTGGGCAGCACCTGTCCTGTACTTTTTGACCCTTTTTCAGGTATATACCAACAAAATTAGATTTTGGTTCCTTCATAAAAATTATAGATTTATGAAATATCTTTCCATAAAGTCCTGGATCACTTAAATCGGAGCTTTGTACAAAAAGATATGTAGAAAATACTAGTAGGTGTCTAGTATAAAAACGAGTTTAGAAACTTACCAAGAGGAGCAACTTGATCTTCACCAAAAACGAATTTTGTGCGTTGATTTAGTAGAAATCCATGGTATTGTTTTTTTGATGAAACTTCAGCTTCTTGTTCTTACGGAGGAGAGAGAGAGATAGAGAGATAGAGAGGTAGATAGTTATTCTTCTTTGTTTCTGAAGAGTAGAAGAATAGGGAGTTTATGAACAGATATGAAATAAAATGGTTCCCCAACTACTAAATATTCTTAGATAAATACAAAAGGTTGGAAACCCAAAACTTAATTATATACTATATTTACTAACAACTCGTCAAAATAATATTAAGTGTTACATATAGAAACACCATGGAACTTCATTGCCAATATTAACACAACCTAAAGTAAGAAATTTTTATATATTAACCATTCTATATTTAGGAAGTGCAAAGTAAAATATTTTCTCGTTATAAAAAAAAATGCTCAATCAAGAATGCAAATATTGTAAAAAAATTTGGGGTGTTACAACTCTCTCTCCCTAAAAAAAAAATTTCGTCTCGAAATTTACCTTGTACTAGTCCCGAAACAAATGTGGATATTGAACTCGCATATCCTCTTCTCGCTCCCAGGTAGCTTCTTCGCCTGAATGATTTCTCCAAAGAACCTTCATTAATGGGATTCTCTTATTTCTAAGCTCTTTTATCTCATGCGCTAATATTTGGATTGGTTCCTCTTCATATGTCAAATCAGGATTAACCTCAATAGACTCAATAGGAAGAACATGAGATGGATCTGAGCGGTATTTTCGAAGCATAGAAACATGAAAGACGTTGTGGATCTTACCTAATTCAGTTGGCAAAGCTAGCTTATATGCAACTGGACCAATTCTTTCAAGTATTTCATAAAGTCCAATGAATCGAGGACTAAGTTTACCTTTTTGGCCAAATCTCATAATCTTCTTCCATGGAGAAACCTTTAAAAATACCTTATCGCCCACCTGATGCTCAATTTCACGCCTTTTAAGATCAGCATAGGACTTTTGTCTGTCTGAAGAAATTTTCAAACGATCCTTGATGATTTTTACCTTATCTTCAGTTTGTTCCACAATCTCAGGACCCACAAATTTTCTTTCACCAATCTCATTCCAACAAAGAGGCGTTCTACATTTTCTCCCATATAAAGCTTCATAAGGAGGCATGCCTATACTTGATTGGTAGCTATTATT